GGAAAAAATTTTTTAAAAAAATGATTGTTAAATTTTAAAATTTCAGATTAGTATTGATTATTATGCTCGTAAAGAAAATTAGTATAATAAAAAAAATGACAACATATTTTTATAATAATTTTTATTTAAAAATTTGAAATCCAAATATCATTTTTTTAAAAAATTTTCTGTGAAAAATAGATAAAAATAGAGGGGAATATGGGAATAGGGACTTGTTTTAGCTTTTTGCTTTTGTTTTATTTTTTGTTTTTCTCCTGACTTGGACTTCCTTTATTACCTTTTTAGAGCGGAGGAATTTGACTCGAAAATATGGCCAAGCCATTGGTACAAATAATATTTGGAAAAAAGATGTTAAAATACCCTAAAAAATATTAAATAATAAATGGGAGCATATGAATTTCAAAATTCTAATTCAGACCTCGGGTATTTTTTTGAAAATTTCAAATATCGTAAAATTACACAAATGTCTTTTATGTTTTTTAAATATTGCCACTTCAGCACTTCCAGCCACCAGAGCTCAGATGCTGGCAATCTTGTCGACGACCAGCTACTAGAGCTCCAGGGACATGTTATCGGAACTCTGGTGACCGGTTGCGAAGCTCCGGTGACTATTGTTTCTTATATATTAACTACTCTTTTTTTAACTATTAACTATATTTGTTTTTAAACTCTAATGACTACTCTGGTTAAATTACTGACTACTCTAGTATTGCTATTGAATACTTTTATTTTTAAAATTTTGATGATTACTTTTATTTAGCTATTAACTATTCTAGTTTTATTATTGACTACTTTTGTTTTAAAAAATCAAAAAATGCATTAAGTGTTGTTGGAGATTTAGTGACTACTTTTTGTTTAGTTATTTACTACTCTTGTGTAGTCAATAGCTATATAAAAATAGTCACCGGAACTTTGAAAACAAAAGTAGTCAACAGCTAAACTAAAGTAGTCAATAACTATATGAAAATAGTTATCGAGAGTAAAAACAGTATTGTCATTTTATAAGATTTGAAAATTCTAAAGTAGTACCTGGGGTCTAAATTATGATTTTAAAATTCCCCTACTCTTATTTGTTATTTAGTATTTTTAAACGTATTTTACTGTCTATTTTTCCAATTTTGTAATAACTTCTCTACCAAGTTTCTGAAGGTCCACAAAAAATCCACGAAGTTTCTTCTTGGTCGTGGTATTTCTCTTGTATTTCCTGCCCTTCGTTCTCGTTGTTCGTGGACGAGCAGGTGAGTCTCATTAACTTGTGTGTTTTCAGTCCTCTGTTTTGGGGATTACGTTTTCTGTTGGCCTGTTAGCTTCCATATTCAATCTTGATTGTGGGTATTGACAATGGCTGTGGAAAGAAGTTCTGCAGACTGGCTTTGAAATTTCTTCTAACTTGGTGAAACATTCCTCCTTGAGTTTTTTTCACACACATCCTGGTTCAATCCTTCATTGTTCTTTACTCTGATATTAAGAAATATTTTAATTTTTTTTTTTAAATTTTCCGCACACTTAATGGTTCATCAATTCTTCATTGTTCGTCCATTTTTGCTTTCTATAATGCTTATATTTTGTTGGGGTTTTACATTTCAGCCATGAACTCTCCACTTGTCTCTCGCCTCCTTGTGAACTGCTCTTCTTCTTAGGGTCTTTACTATATCTCTGTTTCTTCGTCGACCTTAATTTAAGCAATTTAAGTCTTCGTTGGTGATGTTTTCCGGTTGTCCGATTCATGCTAAGCACATTTTTAAATATATATTTTTCTCTATCTTCTCTTGTTTCTTTCTTGTACTACGTCCATCCTGACACTTGAGTGAGGAGTTGCAGAGTTCAAAGCACAAATCTGCTGTGGCCAACCATTCCAATACCTAGGCATGTGGATTATCTATTCAATTATAACAATTATCCTTTTATAGTTCTTTAATGGCGACGTTACTGAAATTTCTCACATACCAATAGCTATAGCCCACGAGCCAGTTATACGTAAAGTTCAGAAGATTTAGTTTAATTTTTAGTTTTTACAACCAGAACCTTTTGCAGCCTTGGAGTTTGCCCTTCACGTTGCTTTCACGTTGCAGGTACAACGAACTTTTATTTTCGTAACGATCCATTAATTTCAATGTCTCTTACTGAGTGTAGAGTGCAGATTTTTATGCTCAACAGAATTTTTTTGGGGAAAAAAAAGACCTCCTAATATGTAAAATTATGATTTGGGACCCTAAGTTTAGAAAAAATAGCAAATAAGGACCAGGTCTCACTTTTGCAAATATGAAATGTGAGTGAAATATCTAAAATGCTTCTCAGCCAAATTGTGATTTGGTCTACTGAAATTGTTATTCGTTAAAGTGAACTTGTCATTTCTCATAGTTAACTCTTCATTTGGTATACCCTCAATCAAGTTGTGATTTGGTCTACTGAAGTTTTCATTCGCTAAAGTGAACTTGTAATTTTTCATAGTCAACTTATCATTTGGCTGAGGGGTATTTTAGACACTTTACTTGATTTCATATTTGCAAAAAAAGACCTGGTCTTATTTATTATTTTTCAAATTGAGGGTCTCAAATCGCAATTTTATATATTGGGAGTTTTTATTTGCAATTTTTTCTTTTTCTTTTTTTTTTTCCTTTTGAACTATGGGAAAATATTTCAGCTAACTATGAATTTTCTAGGGTTAGTATTGTACATTTTTTTTGTACCGTCAGCTTTATGGTTTGTATGTCTGAAGCCGATAAGAACATTGAATCGAGTCTTAGTCCAGACAGGGTATAACTTTTCTACATTGTTTCTTTGTCGTTTTCTTTTCTTTTCTTTGTTTTGGGTCTTAAAGGAGAATGTTGTGTGTTTTTGCTCATAATTGGCTAGCTGGAAGAGCGCCAATTCACCATTATATTCTCTTCTTTCTTACATAACTTATTACTAATAAAGGATCAGTCCACCTTCATCAGTTGAACTTAACATTTTCAGTGTGATATTTTAGATATTCAATTCTCTACTGCAAGAGGGATTAGCATGGCAGTTCAAGCAATATCTTCCACTTCCTTCAACTATGAATGGAAATACGATGTCTTCCTCAATTTTAGAGGTGAAGATACCCGTAATGGTTTCACAGGTCACCTTTATTTAGCTCTTTGTGAAAATGGAATCCGCACCTTCATGGATGATGAAGAGCTTAGAAAAGGGGATGAAATTACACCAGCACTTTTCAAAGCAATTGAACAGTCTAGGATGGCCATCGTTATATTCTCTAATGACTATGCATCCTCCACGTTTTGCCTCAATGAACTTGTCACAATTCTACAATTTATTAAGGGAAACAGCCGGTTGGTTTTGCCAATTTTTTATGATGTGGAACCTTCACACGTGCGGCATCAAGAAGGGAAGTATAGAGAAGCCCTGGCTATGCATGAGAGGAAGTTAAAAGATAATGTGGATAAGTTGCAAAGATGGAAGGTTGCATTACATGAAGCAGCCAATATATCAGGTTTTCACCATACTGTTGGGTAAGTTACAACCTATACCTCTTATTTTACTTTGTATTGGATGTTTAGATGCATCATATTAAATGTATATAGGAATAAGCTAACTTTACTTGCTTCATGAATGAATTTAGTTTGATTTGATTTGAAATTTAGTAATGACATAAATTTTGTAATTTGTCAGGCATGGATATGAGTATCAATTCATTCAAAGGATTGTTAGAGAGATCTCTAGTAAGATCAACAGGAATCCTTTGCATATTGCAGACTATCCAGTTGGACTGGAGTCTCGAGTGTTAAAAATTAATTCTCTTCTAAGAGTTGAGTTGGACAATGAAGTCAACATGATAGGAATATGTGGAATTGGAGGAGTTGGGAAAACGACAATTGCACGTGCTGTATATAACTCAGTTGCTGATAACTTTGAAGGTTTATGCTTTCTCCATGATGTCAAAGAAAATTCAAGTAAACTTGGCCTTGAACAAATGCAAGAGAGAATGCTTTCAAAAATTATAGGGCTGTATATCAAGCTGGTGGATGTTAATGAAGGAATTGCTGTAATAAAACGAAGACTCACTCAAAAGAAAGTTCTTTTGATTCTTGATAATGTTGATAAACGAGAGCAATTGGAAAAACTCGCTGGTGATTGTTATTGGTTTGGTTCTGGCAGTAGGATTATTATTACAACAAGGGATAGACAGTTACTTAAAAGGCATGGTGTTGAAACAATATATGACGTGAGGGAATTCAATGAGGAAGAATCTCTTGAATTGTTAAGCTGGAATGCCTTTAAAAGTTGTAACGTTCATCCAAGTTAAAGGGAAGTTGTGAGTTGTGCAATACAGTATGCCCAAGGCCTTCCACTAGTTCTCGAAGTAATAGGTTCTCACTTGTTTGGTAAGTGTATAAATGATTGGAAATCTGCATTAGATGTCTATAAAAGAATTCCAAACAAAGAAATTCAACAAGTACTACAAGTAAGCTATAATAGCTTGCAAGAGGGAGAGCAGGTAACTTTCCTTGATATTGCTTGTTTTTTTAAAGGGAAAGAGTTGGAACATGTCAAAGATATGGTGGAACTTGCTCATGGTTTCGATCCAAAATATTGTATTGGAGTGTTGAAAGACAAATGCCTCATAAAGATTGAAAATGGTTGTATTAAAATGCATGACTTGATACAAGCCATGGGAAGAGAAATCATTCGTCATGAATCACCGAGAGAGCCGGGAAAACGAAGTAGATTATGGTCCCATGAAGATATTATTCATGTTCTGCAAAAAAAATACGGTGAATGACTCTGATATGGGTGATTTAATTTTTCTTTTTGTACCTTGACACATAGAGTGTTATTGTTTTATTCAAAATTTTATCATTTTTGGTGGCATGTTTGCCGATTAAAATTATTAGAACAAAATTTTTTTTCCTTTATAGTATCTGAAACTTCTAACTCGTGATTGACTTTAAATTTTTGTCTATTAATAGGGTACAGAAAAAATTGTTGTTATAATTCAGGAGCATCAGTGTGGAAATATGAAAATAAATTGGGACAGAGTGGCTTTCAGAAGGATGACAAATCTAAAAATACTTTTTCTCAAGGAGGCCTGGTTTTTAAATGGTCCTCTGAATCTTCCAGATTGTTTAACCGTGTTGCAGTGGTGGGGATACCTGGCATCTTGTTTACCAACTAATTTTGATCCTTCAAACCTCGCTGTGCTTGACTTGCGAGGAGGTTGCTTACGGTCTTTGGAACCTAAAATAGTGAGTATATTACTTTCTAAGTTCATTATATGCTTATTTTTATCCGGGTAATCAAGTTATGTGTTAATGAAAAATTCCACTAACTATTTTATGGTTTTCTTCCTGCAGAAATGGGAGAATATGACAACTTTGAATCTTAGAAAATGTCAATTTATAAGCCAGATTCCTGATGGATCCGGCTTCCCAAACCTAGTTGAACTAAACCTGGAAGGTTGTTACAATTTAATTGAAATTCCTGATTCAATGGGATTTTTGGAGAAACTTGAAATCTTTAATGTTAGATACTGTACAAAGCTCAGGGCTTTTCCTCGTGCAATCAAGATGCCCAATCTTCTACACCTCGGACTTGAAGGCTGTAGAAATCTTGAGAAATTTCCAGAGATATTAGAAAAGATGCAATATATAGAAAATCTTGATTTGAGTGATAGAGACTTAGAATTGCCATTTTCAATTTGCAACATAACTGGGCTTCGAAATTTGAATATGAGAGGATGTGGAAGAGTTATTCTGCTACCAAGTAACCTTGCTATGTTACAAAGACTAGAAGGGACATGTAATGAAGATCGTAGAGAAGGCCAAGAAGAAGCAAGCTTCCTGTTGTGTCCTAATGTGGAGGTGATTAGGCTTCCTGGGTGCGATATATCAGATGCATTCCTTCCTATATGTCTTACTTGGTTCTCCAATGTGAAATGCTTAAACCTTTCTGTTAATGGTTTTTCAATCATCCCGGCGTGCATTAAAGACTGTTGTTTCTTGGAGAAGCGTTATGTTGATCCTTCCAAACATCCGAGAGAAATAAATGGGATTCCCCCAAAATTAGAAGAATTATGGGCACGAGATTGCTTATGGAGAAGAACATCACTGAGCCAGGTTTGGTTGCGTTTCATATTCTGATATTCCAATCCATTTTAATCTGATTCTTTTATGCACCTAAACATTTTTTCTTGATCTTTGACAGGAATTACAAGAGGGTAGTGACACACTTTTTTTCGTGCCTGGATCAGCAATTTTTGAATGGATTCACCATAGCAGCAGGGGACAGTCCATATCTTTCTGGTTTCGCGGCAGAGCGCCAATGATCTGTCTCTGTTTTGTTAGAAAACAAATGGTACTTGATGTTTTAAGTGCTGAGGTAAATGTTAATGGTAGGATAACATTGTTCAATGAAGGCGATATGATGAAGGACACTATGATAATCTATTGTTCAATGTCATCTCATTATATGTTAATGAGTTGGGATATTAAGATCACTGATGAAATAGGCCCTCTGCTTCTTAGTGGGTGGAATCATGTTGAGATTTGTATATATGAAGATGTGTGGAGGCATTTGAAAGAGATGGGAATCCATGTAAAGGAAGAAGATGGTAGAATGGAGGATATCCGATTCACGAATCCTTATAAAAGGACAAAAGTTGAAGTTTCGCAGTGGCAACTTGATTAAAGTGTGAAATGACACCACAACTCAAAAAGGTCTTTTTTCTTTTTCTTTTTTGTGTTTTGTTTTAGCTCTGACTCTTGCGTCCTTGTCAAAATTATCTCATCCAAAAACATTTGACTATGCCTATGATGAATGAATTAAAAGAGAATTATAACGAGGTCCTATGAAAAGAAAATAACTATGAAAAAGGCTTGATAACAAGTTAGGAGTTGTCATTTCCTACCATATAAGTTGACATTATAAGTTGTTCAGTTTGTTATTAGAATTTTTTAATAATTATATTTCTTTTTTTGATACTTCATTGCGATTCTCCTATGCGTTAATGCACTTGTACCTTTCAATAGATTAAGCGGCAAACATGGAGGATATGAGAGACAAATGATAAAGCAGCCATCAAGTCTTTGAGAGCAATGATAATGTCATTAAACCCGAAGGAAAGGGTATAGTAATATGCGGAGACGGCTCCAGTGAAGATATACCAGAGGCATTGTAATCTGAATTATTTTTGTTAATTACAAAATAAACATATTAGGTGGAAAAGATATGTTTGCATTAAAATGTTTAGTTAATTTTTGGGCCAACAATATCCACACACTTTTGTTGAACCGTCGTTTAGTTTGAGTTCATATATATTGATTCAATCAGCCATTCATGCATTTAAAAGGAAGCACCATTCGGTTATCGCTTTTTCTCGTACGGAGGAATAAAATGTATGAATCAGTAGCTGCTTATGCTTGGGGATACAAGAAATTTGACACTATTTGAAAGGGGAAAAAATTATTTTTCCAAGCTTATTTTAACTGTGTTTAAGTTTAACAGTTATGTTGGGGTTAAATAATACTCCTCTGGTCCTATTTAGAGGGCAGATAGTGAAGATATTTTTTGATCCTATTTATAAGGCAGAGAAATTTTTTGTATTGATGTATAATTTTATTCTTCATTTATTATTGTATTGCTTTTGTTTACATAAGGTATAATGTATACTTCTTCTTGTTCAAAATATAAGCTAAACTTTCTTAAAGAGATTAGTTTTTTTAATAAGATAATATTCACTTTTGTCCAAGCATTTAATGAGTTTTTCCAACTTTACCCTTATATATTCTCTTATTTTTTTTAATTCATTTATTACATCTTTTACTTATTCTCTTCATTAATAAGGGTATATCAGGAAAAACAAATTCATGCCTTACACATTTATTATTTTAAATTGATTTTAATTAGTTTCTTAATAAATGTAATAGATAAAGTTTAGTTTATATTTTGAACTGGAGAGAATATTAAATAAGGATAAAGTCAAAAAGTTGTTGAATTTTAAATGAAATTTAAGATTTTCCTTTATTTATGTGAAATATGTTGGAAGTTATAAATAGGATTAGAGGAGTATTGTGTAAAATTAATACAGCTGGCTTCATTTGATTGATAAACTTGACATACTAACTTGATACATGTTTTCTCAATTATATTATTTATTTGATAATTAAAATTTTGATTTATTACTATAACTACAAAATTTGAATGATAATAATAGAACTTTCTAAAAACATGATATAATTGTATTTAATTTGTAATTAATTATTTAGATTTATAATTATAAATTATATTATCATTTTATAATTATTAATTGAAATTTATCATTTGTACTTTTTTATTTAGTTAATTTTAAATTAATTTAATAAATAAAATTTTAAAAATACATAAACCAGATTAAAAATTAAGCAGAACTATAAGAGGCTTGGTAAAATTAAAAACAACTTCAAGAACCTAATTAAAAGCATATAAATACCTAATATAGTTATACTCCTCTGGTCCTATCAGCATGTTTCACACGAATCAAGAAAAATCTTAAATTTCATTAACTTTGATTTAAAATTTAACAACTTTTTAACTTTATATCTATTTTAATATACATTATATCTAATATAAACAAAATCAATACAATAATAAATTAGGGGTAAAATTGTACATCTATATAAAAAATTTCTCTTAATGCCCTATAAATAGGATAAAAAAATACTTTTTCTTTTTTTTGTCTTATAAATAGGACCAGAAAAGTATAATAATAGGAAGGCTAGCAAGTTAACTATGGCAGATTGCCTGCGCAACATTTAGCCACATCCTAGGGTTACATGTCTTATGGCTCTCAAATTGATGCATGTCCCGTCGACTAGGCTTCTTCTAAGAGAGTGTTTGGATGAAAACCAAATTATAATTTTAAAAGTAATTTTATAATATACAAAATAAATATACAGAGAAATTTGTCTCAATTTATAGAGAAGTACTTTTAAAAAATATTTTGGGGTAATATAAATTTTAATCCTTCAAAATTATCTTTATTTTATTTGATCTCTCAAATTTCAAACCAGTTTCTTTTCCTTTAAACATTGATCCCTATAATCCAACAAATACTTGGATTATTTTATCCCTTTAGGAACCAAAATCTATGGTTTAAAATGTGAGAGACTAAAACCAAAATCAGAACAAATTTGAAAAATCAGAGATTATATTAACCGGAATTGATGATATCCAAACAACCCTTAAGTTATCTTCGGTTTTGTCTCACGTGCTCCACGGTTACTCCACGATTTCCTTCCCTCCCCCGCAGAGTCGTGGTTGCTCTCATGTGCCTGTGGGATCTGCATCATTGGTTTTTCCCCGATCGTCGTCTGAATTTACCAGCGTCTCACGTCCTTCTGGGCATCGCTGCCCTGCCTCCTCTTTTGATTTCTCTTCTACGTCTCTGTTTACCAGTACCATTCGTCACTGTCTGCAACAGTCAGGTCGTCTCCCTCCTCCATTGATCTTTCTCAATTTTTCTATTTCACCTTCTCTAACCTTCTTGATTTCCTTTCTTCTTCCGTCTTCGTTTTCACGATTACACTAGGCCACGTTTGGTACGTGACGCTGGAATTGAAGGGACTGGGATTGGGAATGAGATTAGAAATGAGATTGGGATTAGGACTTTAAAATTATATTTGGTAAGAGATAATCTTTGGAGGAATTGTTTTCATTAATTTTATTTTAAAATCAGATAGAAATTATGGAAAGACAATAATGCCCCTTCCAAATATTTGAAAATAAAAGAAAACAATAACTGGAGTTCCAAGGCCAAGATGGAGACGACAAAGCAAATATTATGCTCCTTTTTCACTTTGCCTTGTCCTTATTCTCGTGACGCACATGAATCGAGTTAAAGAGAACAGCAAAATACAGAGACAGCAAAAGAAGAAACTGATTCAGATGCCTCCCTCTATCTTCTCTACGACTGTAATTGACTGAAGACACAGAGTTGAGAAGCGAAATTAGAAGGAAGAAGAAATGAAAATCGTACTGTTTCTTAGTCTTTCGTTGATCGAGGTCGTCTCCTTTGGCTGCATCTGGGTGCTCTTCATCGTCAGGTTCTTGTTTACCACTAGTGTGGGATTGGTCGATGATGGTGTGATCGGCGAGGGGGGTTTCATTGGGGGAAGACGAGATGGAGGAAGGGGAGAACGATGAAGAGAATGATGAAGAGTGAGCAGCTTTCAGAACGATGGAAAAGAAGATAAATTAGAGCAAATGTAAGAAGGTTAAACTTGTCCAAAATGTATTATAAGTGGGGATATTTTTGTCTTTAAAATTTTCAATCTCAGGTTTTAAAATGCAATACCAGGAGGGAGGTGGGTTTGTCCAATCCCACATATGTGGTAATGTGCAATCCTTGAGCTTCTTTAATACCACCTACCAAACATGCTTATTTGACTGATTCCCTATCCCAACCCCTGTCCCGCGCCTCCAGTGCTGCATACCAAACGTGGCTTAGGGGTGAGAATCAACCACCTTTCAACTAGGGCTGCACATGAGTAGAGCTGAGCAAGGCAGAACCCCAGCCCGAAGCCCAGCCCGAAAAATGAACAGGCTGAAAAATACAGTACGTTGCCCGGCCCTGTCCATGAAAAATCCTATTAAGTTCGGGCAGGGCAAGGCAGGTTTTCATTTCCAACAAGTTAATATACTATATCAATTAACTAATTATTTATGTCTTTCTAAATAATTTAACATAACTTTATATTAAAATGGCAACTTGGCCTTAATTTTGTTATTACTAATTAATATACTATGAAACTACTTTTTATAGTAGTTAGGAGGAGTGGACTACAATAACAAAAAAATGTTGTTTGTATATTTTATTAAACTTAATTGTTTTTCTAGTTTCTAACTCTCAAAATCATTCAAAAATAAATAAGTATAACGAACACTGAATATTAATGCAATAGTATGTTTGATTCAAGAAATAAATATGAGGCAAATAAAATATAGATAAATAAAATTATATATATTTTTGCCGGCAGGGCAGCATACTTTGTCCAATCCAAACATGTTCAATAGTTCTTTTGGGTCATTTTTTACTAAGATGGGCTGGGCATTTTTTCACAGGCTTAGATGGGTATAGCGGGCAACTGGGCTTTATGAACACCCCTACTTTCAACATAGATATTAATCATGCTTATCAATCGCCCATTTTAATTTCATGTTTCCATCTTTTAATTTCTGCGTTAATTTGTCTCGTGCCCAGGTTACAGTTTTGGTAAACTATTTTGGGTGACTTAGTTGCTTAGTGCAGATATATATATTTGTAACAATTAATTATGTTTTAATTCTTCTTGTGTTTTGGTTTTAGGTTTGTGAAGTTCAAGGCTTGTTGGAAAGGTGAAATGGAATGGCAGGAGTTATTGAAAAGAAAGGCAAATTGTGGGTAATAACTAGAATCATTTGTAACTGCAGGGTATAGTGATCAATTGAGGAGATTCTATAGGTGGGGTGCCAATCTTTTTCTTTATCACCTCTCTTTGATAAATAGAACAGAACTACTATTTGTGAATTTCTCCAATCAACGTTTATAAATAGTGAAATAGTTGAGTAATGTCTGAATGCACTGATTTCTTTGAATTAAATTTTTAACTAAAAGTAGTAGACAAGTATGAGTTGCATTAAGATTTCGTAATGTACTACAAGAGAAATTGTTC